AATGAACTTCACCACCTTGCGACAACTCCCCATGTGTTTATACTGGTCGAGTATGCCAATGAGATGATTCAATCGTACGTCGACAAAACATGATTGAACGGCATTCGTAAATGTAGGCTGGAATCCTCAATTGGTAATCCAATAACCATAATTAGTGGATTAAAAATGTGCTACTATTAGGCTACTGATGGCATCGGCTTGGAAGTCATTGTTTTTTAAAATTTTGACACGCTTTCGATATCGAAATATCTGAGTTCCTTTTCAAGAAACTCATTTAATGTCGCTGTATTTCCGTGCAGGGCAAAACGACGAGGAAGTGATCGAATATTGCACGCTTAGTCTTTTTCAACGAATGTTCTGCCATATCCTTGTTGTATATACAAATTTTTTTTACGTGGCTGAGGAGGCTGAATAGTCAAAAACAGTTAAAAATATAAGTCGCTCAGTGAGTGTAATTGCTTCCAAACTATTTTTAAGCCATGAAATGTTTTGTCGTAGCTAGCGTTGCCAACTGCCCTCCAATCCAGCGTGTAGTCCCAAAAATTGAGCTTATCTTATCTGAAACTTATGAAGCTGCAAAGGACGCAGCTTTTACTATAAAATGTAAAAGAAAAATACTTTATACGAACAGGAGCACTATTGCTCAAACGGCTTGTTAAAATTTAGAAAACTGTCATTCCCAGCAAGAAACCATCAGTAGCCCAATTAGTAACACATTTTTAAACTGTCAATTATGGTTATTGTTTACCATTTGAGATTCCAGCCTACATATTATACGAATGCGTCAATCCTGTTTTGTCGACGTACGATTGAATCATCTCATTGGCATACACGACCACTTTAACCCATAGAAGTTGGTCGCAAGATAGTAAAGTTCAAATAATAGTACTGAATAGTATAGCACCGTAGGTCGAAGATAGGTAAGTTGTAGCAGATAGGGCAGTGGGTCGAGGATAGGTAGGTTGAGGGAGATGGAGCAGTAGGTCGAGAAGGGAAAGGTTCAGGGAGATAGAGTGGTGGTTCGGGGATGCGAAAGTTGGGGGATACGGCAGTGGGTTGAGGATAGGAAAGTTGAGGGAGGTCGGGCAGTGGGTCGAGGATAGATAAGTAGATTGAGGTAGGGCAGTGGGTCGAGGACAGTTTTCAAGTGAACGAATAGCTCGCGGAGGTCTAAGTTGTCTTTAACGGAGTCCTGAGGATGCGTACGGGAGCATTTTTGAAAACCTAAAGTCTACGTAGTAGATGTAACAATGCGAACAACTAAGTAACGAATGTTTCCTCGACTTTTGATCTCTTGAATTCTTCCTCTTGAATCTACACTCTACCATTGCAAAATTATTGGTTCTTATTTTCAAGAATTAGGACTTAGTTATTTGATTAGGACGTATATTTACCAAAACACAACTAAAAACTAACAAACAACACGCGAAAATTGCCAAAACGAGATAATATCCACAACCACGAAAGACTGTCTGAATGCAAAAAGTATCTGAGCGCTTCTGAAACGTTTATTGTTACTTCATTTTTGCAATTATGCTGATTGGCCAATGTTACGACAGTAAATAAGGAAGTGTATACTCGGGGGAACATTCATAATTATAACACTGGCCAACAAAAAAATTTTTTTTTCATGGTGCCTAAGATGTTTTAAACGTTTTTAGCACATTTGAGGGCGCTGATTTCAGAAATGCTGTTACTTTTTCTCTATCAGGTCTAGTTTTTCCTCTATGGTATATCCCTCTCTGCAGGATGCCTATAGCTACAATAAAGATAGGCAAATGAAGAAACACACATTTTTCTGTAATTTTATTGAAACATATCCATGGAATCTCACCAAAATATTCACAAATTAAAGCTGGAACTTGTAATAAATGCTATCTAATAGATGTCATCAGCTATAAATTGACGTTTTACTGATTTTCTAGAATGAGGGGCCTCGGCAATCATCGCGCTCGATAGACCAACAGTAGTCTGCAAGCATGGTGGAATCCCAACGACCTTGATAGCGAACTTCCATGTCGCTGATATCTTTGATGGAAGCGCTCCCCTTGCTCATCGCTCACATCACCTAGATTTTCTGGAAAACGGGCAAGATGGCTGTGCAAAAAATGTAACTTGATGCTCCATATTTGCACCCAGTTGACGGAGACTTGTAAGTAGTGTTTCAACAAGCTCTTTGTAGTTGGGCCGCCTTCGTTTTTTCCAAAAAGAATTTTACTACATTTGTAAACGCCGTCCAGCCCTCAATTCTGTTGGATTCATAAAATTACAGAAAGTCACATCATTCATTAACTTTCGAATCTGGGGTCCATCAAAATTCCAGCTCTTAATTTTCCTGTGGTTAGACCTGGAAATTTCCTGCAAATATATTTGAAACAGTCGCCATCTTTCTCAAGAGCCTTCACAAACTGTTTCATGATGCCAAAGCTTTATGTGGAGAGGAGGAAACACAATTTTTGAACGGGTCGACCAAAGGAGGAGCCAAAACATTGAGAAAGCCAGGAATCAACTCACTGCGCACGGCCAATCTTTTTTTATCCAATGCTCTGTTCTTGCCCTGCTGTCCCACAACACAAGAAAGCAAGGAAATTTCGTGTAGCCACCTTGTAGCCCAAGGAGAAATCCAACCATTTTCAAATCGACACATATGATCCATTGGTGCTGTCTGTATGAAATTTTTTCCAGTGCAAATTTGATTTTCATCATATTTTTCTTTGAGGGTTGTTGAATGACCTAGAGGAACTGATCCAAATAAGTTTCCATTGTGAAGAAGAACACATTTTAAACTTCTTTTGGAACTGTCTATAAAAAGGCGCCAATCTTGAGGATCATATTGTTGGGACAACCAAGCTGCCGCAGCAGGCCGGCAACGTTGTTACAATATACTATGTCTTTTTCCTGAGTGAAATATGACAAGAATTCAATATGGCGTTTTCTATAGAATGTTATGAGAGTTCCCGGCTGAAGTAGATATTTTTCATTGAGTCTTGAAGCTAAAAGTTCAGAAGATTCTTTGGAAAGGTTGAGATCTCTAGTCAGATCATTAAGTTCTTCTTGAGAAAAAAGCTGTGGCAGTGAAGAAGAAGGAAACCAGATATCTGAATCAGTGCCCTCACTACTTTCAGTGGACAAAACGGAGGTTTGATATTCTTCAGAGCAAGGCAATTCCAATTCGGGCAAGCCTTCAAACACTGGAACAGGAATTTCATTGCAGTGTGGAATTGGCCTAATTGCAGACTCGAGGTTTGGATAAACCAACGATTTTCTGTTCTTCCTATTGATTCCCTTAGTGTTTACTGCACAGAAGTAGCAGTCATCAAAATGATTTTTTGGTTCCCGCCAGACCATTGGAATACCAAAGCTGAGTGACTATCTATCCTTTTTTGTCCACTGTCGAAGATGTTCAACACATTGCTTGCATACAATATGGGGTGCCCATACCTTATTTTGATCACCCAGCATTACTTTGAAGTAGGCAAGATAAGCACACCTCACAAATTTACTGATCCCTTTCCTGTTGGATTGCAATGTATATTCTCCGCAAATATAGCAAAATACATTTGGATTGTTTGAACAATGTCGCCTAAGAGAAGATGTAGCCATACTTAATTTTTGCTCTAAAAATCTGCAACTCAACCAAAACAATGCAGCCTATTTATTTCATGTCTGACTTCTATATATATAAAATTTGACTTCTATAAAGCGTGTGATGTCATAATCGTTTCGAATACATCACAATAAAAAACTTACACTTTTAATTATAACGCTAGAAATACCCCTAATTTTAAGGAAAAAAGGTATAAAATGGCAAATATTCCAAAAATTTGACCTGATGAGAAAAAACGAGTATGATTGTTGGACTCAGCACCCCCAAATTAATCTAAATCAGCTTAGAAACCTTGGGCACCAAAAAATGTGTTGGCCAGTGTAATCAGTGATTTATAAAGTTGTTATACATAAATACGCTACACAGACGCAATGCTCATATTTATGGAAAATTTAAATTGTTTCGCGATCCAGAGCGGGGGGTTTCGCGTCCCAAATTTGGGTCGCGACCCCGTAGTTGCGGACCCCTGCCCTACAGTACGTCTAATTGTTACGTATTTTATGACTAAGATATTACTTCTAATTTTAAGATTAGAGTGACTAAGTTTAAACACGTAATCTATTAACCAAAAAGCAGATAATTTACTCAATATCCTATAGTCCTATAAGTGTCCCTGTCTAGGCCGGCTTTTACCTCTTCTTTCCAGTGGAGTGGTACTGGTGTGTGATGAACGACAGGCTTTGCTTCAGAGACTATCATAAGTTTTATTGGCGGCCCTTCCATCATAGGGAGCGGTTGGTGTTCGCAGGTGTTGAAAGTGCTAGATTTGTATTATTCGATTAGATACTCCTGTAGCTTCTGTCGGTTTTCCCCATTCGGCGAGTATGGTAACGACGTTGGGATTGGTGGGGGAAGTTTGCGGCGGGGACATGTGCATCTTTATATGTCACCATTCTTAGTCCCTGTCAAAGTTTTGTCCGTCATGTTAATTGATGTCATTTCCCTGTTGACTCCGCCAATCTTTGAAAAATTAAACCAAGTTCAATGCATGCTTTCCTGCTCAAGAACAGCTTGTCCGAGCTGTCGGTAATGTAAATGATCTGACGGGAACGAACTATTTTCCCGTTATCAGTTGTTCCTGAAAATCTTGCAACTAGGGCGCCAAGGATATGTATCCATTTGTTATTCGTCGCAGTCATTGTTGTTGGGGTTTGAAATTCTTTTTAAACCCCAATTTAGCAAAGTCAGATGGTAGTATGTCGATCATAATATCAAAAAATGGCTGTGGATCTGACTTGCGTTTTTCCCATCTTCGGCACATATTGGTGGTGGTCCAGAGCCATTCCGTTGGATGAATTCTTGTAAACTGAGCATAATGAATTGGACATAGAGTTCTCCATGTCATCAGGTTCCTGTGATGGTTTGACCATTTTTGACGATGTTTTTGCCTCTACAAACTGATTCAAAATGGTGTAGTTTCAAGCAGTGGTAGCAAGTCTGATTGAAAGCAGGACAGGAACGTCATTTGATTCTCAGTGGAGAACTTTTGCCGTGTCCTGTTTCTCCGCAGTAAGTACATGTGGCTTGCATCTTATCGGATGTGGGCTTGACTTGAATTTCGATATGAGCTGATGGCGTCTGTGGACTGGGAATCGAACAGTCTGAAGGCGGATCTGTTGCCCGATTCTTTGGCTTCGACGAATTTGAAGACTTCTTCCAAGGTCATGTTTGGGTTCGGGTCCCCAAGAAGATCTAGTTGAAAGTCGGAGTTACCTATTCCTCTATAGAGGATGTCGCGCATAATTTCTTCTGTATAATTCACATCTTGACTGCATGAGGGACTGCATTACAGACTGTCGCTTGGCCACGAATGCGGGCGCCAAAGTTTCTTACAGGTTCGTCTCTGTCTTGTTTCATGTTGGCGAGCTTGACTCTGGCGATCATGACATTTTCCTTTGATAGCGTTCAGTATGTTTTGTTCTGATTTTCCTGTAAGATTAGGTGAGGTGCGAGTTAGATCTTTGCGCAGTGGATCGTCACAGCATTCCAATAGTTGGAAAATTATGTCTCGGCCAGATATTTTTGTGGCAGCTTTGTAGTCTGTCCATCTTGATTCAAAATATGTCCATTCTTCAGTTGAGCTAGCAGATGTGATGGTTGGACGTTTTACTTTCTCAACTTGGGTTGTGGGTTGTTGAGTTTTTTGTGCGCTGTTTGTGGTAGCGTGTAAATTCAGCAATGCAGCAACAATAGAGGCCTCATTCTCTGTTTCAAATTCACATTTGTTGATTGGGCATCTGATCTTTGGCATCTTGATGTCACAAGGTATCCCACATAGGGTAAATCATAGATAATTATATATCACTATTTGTTTATTAGGCTATCAGTAAAGTATGATTTACCCACTATATGAAAAGAAATATGGTGAATAACGAATACCAATAAATATATAAACATAAAGAAATGTACAATGCTACTGATAATCTACTAATAACTTTGTCTTTTTTTAGCTCTCATTCTAAAAATAAGTTGGCTCTGGTTTTACTTGCGAAATCCTGTTGACCAGACCGAAATCCTGTTCACCAGACCTTGCATATATATATAGCTAAGGCAAAACGAGACTGCTGTTCATGTCCACAATGGGTAGAAAACAAACGTTTGAACTCAATGGAAGGAGTATTTATATTCCGGTATTTGTACTAGTTCATGATGCAACAACAAATACTTCGACTTGGTAATTTAATTTACAATATCTTCCAGTACTTAAAAAGTTTGATATAAGTTTTCATACCTTTGTCGAGTGGACATAACAAAGCCGCAAAATAATTTTCATAATCAGAAAGAAAAACTATAGCTGCATTGTCTCAAAGGTTGTCTGATTAAAACAAATAGAATTAAATGAGTTTAACTGCAGACCAACAAAATAATAATAATTTATCTATATATCGAATATTATATTACATGTATTAGTAATTTTACCCATATTTGACACAGCTTCATTCTCGAGTCCGTTCATTTCCTCTCCGTGCTCGAAGTGAGTAAATTCTGCAAACGTTCTATTTGTGTCAAAAAATCAACAAATGTCTTAAATTAGAAGGACAATAATTAAAGAGTTTACTAGTACTTTTTATTGTTATGCTAATCAATAACTTTCCACGACGTTTTGAAAGCATTCAATTGGGATACATTTTGTGTACACAACATACCATCGTCTGATTTCCTAATATGATAAGTTCCATCTCCTTCATAGTCAACATGAAATTCAAATTTCAAACAAAAATTTTCCTTCTATGCAACCTGTTATCTAATTTTATAATTGTGTTTTCGAGAATTTATTGGAAAGCATTATTAATTAGTATGCTACCAGATCCGAGGCAATAGACTCGTAACTCTTGGACGAGTACTCAGGTAGATTTGGTAATTTAAACAACATATGAAAATGTAGAAGAATCACTATAGGTAAATAATTTATTTTTAATTTTAGCTATTTTCAACAATATTTTACTTATTGTAACACATTTATACTCTGTAGATTTTGCTTTTTGTTTTCATATATTTACCTGGACCCATTTTCCTTTGAAACAGCTTGGAATCCAGTTTCTGTAGACGTGATATTAGTGAATCTGGCACAAGAGACCATAGACGTTATTTCATCAGTCCAGAATACCACGTAGTTTTTGATAACTACAAAATGGAAAAAACCTAAATTACGGTGTTTCCCGAAAATAAGTCCTTTAGCCTAAAAATAGGACCTACCCCAAATTTAAAAATGATTTTAATCCAAGCCCTACCCTTAAAATAAGATCTAGCCGATAGCGTAAAATTTGTTTTGACCTAATCGAAGGCTAGAAATCTCTCTTACACGTTTCAAATGGTTAAACTAAAACGCGTGAGAAAGGAAAAGGTTCAATGAGTGAAATCTTCATTGGAATTTATGAATCTAGTGACTAGCATGACATTCCAGAGGATGATGATATGGTCAATTTTGAATAATGGCAGTTTTTTGTTTAATAAAAACGTGTTATTTTTAAGTAAATGGATATCGGGTTTCATATTTTGTATATTTGAAAATCTCGTAATTTTCTACTTCGTAATTTTGTTTTTGATAAATGGCATCCTCCCATATACGCCCTAGTGTTATTTTTCGAAAGAAAATTAAAATAAGACCCTGTCTTATTTTTGGGAAACACGGTGTATGTTAGCATTGGTTGATTAGAATTTAATACTAGTTACACGAAAATGGTTTTGACTAATAACGGATTGGAAGTAATTACTTTAATATTAACTTAAAGAGTCATGTTTTTCTTTAAAATCAGCAAAAACAAGTGGGTTCAACACACTTCTCTTCAATTTAGTCTCAATTTGAGTTGTTATCTTCATCTCCACCGTACCTTTCCAGCATCGATTTCCATGCCCTCTGAAATACAGCTTTTCTGTAACTGACTTGCATTTGTTATCAGTGCAATTGATGACAATAGTAAGAGTAATTCAACAATTGAAATCATGCTCATTATGACCATAAACGCTTCGTGATTTTTCTAATTTACCTGTAACAAATAGGAAAACGTGTTGTTCGTATATGGGTTTGCTTTGTATAAAAGTTCATCTGTATTATATGTATCAAACGAAGGTTCTTTAAACCGCCTTATTCAAAACATCTCAACAATATTATCAAAAATTAGAAGTTTATTTCAATGAAACAACCAAAAATAGAATGAACTGTTGTTCACATAGCTGCAATGTGAATGCTGCTATATTCTATTATGCTGCTTTTATGCCTCCCAAAGCCCTTTTTCATTTCATAGTTCTTGAGTAGAATCTTACTCATTGTTTTGTTCTATCCTTCTATGTTTACTTTACGTCAAAATGAACTGTTTATAATTTGGGGGAAGATTCTCTGAGTCAGAGGACGCACAGGATACACGCAAAAAATCAATTCATGTTGTGACGATACAAATCTGTGGCAGTTCCACATAAAATATCCTGATTCAGTAACATTTGAATGAACTAGTTTGAATGAAATATATTTTATTCGCATTGCTCCAATTTTCTGTATATATATATATATATATATATATATATATATATATATATGTGGTAATATGTTTATTGTATTTGCCTGTGAAACATCTGCCAATCATGATGTGATGTTATTTGACATTAAGTATCTTGTAAAGTTATTTGTCCCTCCCCTTTATACGCGGAGAAATACGGTATTTTTGAAGTGCCCCATCACCGTAAGAAACTAGGTTTTAAGTATAAGTTCACTTACGTATGCGTAAAATTACCGAAGCATACCTGCAAATTTAAATAATTACTGGAAAAAGCTTAAAAAAATTAATGTGAGTGTAATATTAAACCTAAACTAAACAGTAATGAATTATTTATTGTATTGTCTTGATTTGTTGAAGTTTGTCAAAATGAACACATTGCGACGACTCTCGCTTGTTCTCTGTACGGTTTTTTAAGAACGGTGTTCTGATATATTTTTATTATATTCAAAATTATATAAATTTAGCTTTTTTGTATGTACCGGTTTGGCTTGCCCTCTTTTTTGCTTTTTGTTGTTACAATAGAAGCTAATTAGTTTACCACATTATCTAATTCAAATTTTTTCTTATTTATATGATAATCATTTTACTTCATTTAAATTTTTATACAAAAGGTCCCACTGACAGTGAAGACATGGATACTTCATCCGCCGTTGATGCTTTAACAACGCCGAGATTTGAAGGTGGCTTAATATTATTGTTACCAATACCAATAATATAAAAAACGAATAGTCAAAACGTGAATTCTTATACATGAATGTTATTCACTTCGAAGCATGACTTTATCTTACAAATTTCGACTATATTCATTGTTAAAAAATGTGAGAATAAAATTGTCAAATAAAATAACCATACAGAAAATATGAAGATAGCAGACCCCCAAAGAAAATAGTCAATTTGTAAGCCCTTTGGCTACTATTAACGCATCCGACATGATTATTTAATACGCTTTTTCTGCTCTTTGAGATTCATTTTCGATTTGATTTTGCGTAGCAAATGAAAAATACCACTACTACCGAAAATATTCAAACACAAATAATATTAACACATCATAGTAAGAAAAAGTAACTCGTGTGTGAGTCAGGACAAATAATCTGATTAATTAGAAGTGACATAAAATATTTTGGGTGCAGCGCGAATTGACAAATCCAACTTAAATAAATTTTGATTTTTATAGAAGGGTACCCAATAAAAAATGACATTGGAAAGAACAACAGCAGAAGATGGCCAATGAATTACGGAGAAATGTATTATACGCCCCTAGGTAGGTCTGTCACCTAAACTGGTACATACATTTCCTCTTATTATTATTACTATTTTTTATGTACTTTGTTCTCAAAAGCGGGTTCTCATGAGGGTTTTCCTATCTCCAGACAGAGACTTGATCCTCGTGGGCACAACGAATACCACATAAACCATTTACTTTTCAACATATGAATAAGAACAATCACGAGGAATATTAGAACAATCGTAAATATCCCACATGATGAATATTTATCATCATATTTTACTAAAAATTGCATTTTAATAAAACCATATATTTTTTTCCATATTTTCTTGGCGTGGTTCCTAAATTCAGTATACATTTCAAGTATATTATACGTTGACAGATGATCGTCAAGAAAAAACATTTTCAAGAAAATCCAGAGCTGGTATTTTTACAAACAACCCAGTCTATCCGAATTCGAACCAAGGTTGGTATCTAAATATGATTAAATATAATGTGAGTATTTGGATTTCTGCTTGGCAATTTTTACGTGTCATTCATATTGTCCCGCGAATTTAAAATATTTTCCAACGTCTCTTTTAAAATCCTTTGACTTTTATTATTAATTTGAAAGACTTTTGCCAGCGATTGGTTGGTTTCATTGATCTCATCTAATCTATTTACCCTGACTAGTAGTGGTCATGGTCGCAAAATAGTTCAACTCAACATAGTTTAATCTCTAATTTATGATTGAACATTTTAACACAATTTTATAGACACGTACTCACACGAAAACATTAATATTTGCAGGTGACCAATATACGAACCAGCAACTACACTCGTCGTCGAAAGGTTAGTGGTTTGAAACATAAGAATTTTTTCCCTGCGACGTAACACGCTTGTCACAAACATAATATACTAAATTATACACCAGATTGGGTAATACAACAATTTTATTTTTAAACGCTTCATAATTCAGTTCAAGAAGAACCGAATGCTAGATATGTGCATCAACAATACCCTGATTACCATCAAAGCGAAGAGTACCGACGGAATCAATACGTTGCGAGAACAGGTGCGGGGAGATATTCAATGCCTTCACTTTTAGAACATAATAGCTTTTTATAATTTCAATCCGCTTGTGTAATCATCCTTTTGGGAAGCATGACAATGAGGCAATTATGAACTTGTTTCATCAATGGATAGTCAATTATCTTCGCACTGAATTTGAGAACTCTGTTCAAAATTTAGCGTTGTATACCAATTCTTTACAAAAGAGAAAATGAGTCAAAAAATATGGCAGTACCTCAATTTATCATTGTATATTTACAGAATTTGATGCGCATGAAAGACAGTTTCCTGGATATCGTATTTCAAGTGGTATGTAAAATATAATGGTTGTATTTCTGTCAAATAGATAAGGAATTTATTTGTACCCTTTGTCTTCGCTTTAGACCCCCTCGTTCGAATTGTTATTCTGTTAAGTATAAATAAAATTAATACTCATACTATGTACCCAAGTTGTGATAAATATTGTCAAGTCGTCATAAAATAAAAAGTAAATTGATGCCATATTGTTACAGTAGAATTTGAAAAGCTAGCAAAAGCAGGAATCATATCGGATCAAACTGTTACATCACCATAACAAACACATTTTAATTTACTGATACGGCATCGATTTTTAACAGGTTTTCTAAATCTGTTAAGACATTTTGAGAAAAAATCTTGGTTGAAGAATATGCTCAACGTAGAATCGTAGATAACAGTTGAGCGCACAAAAAGGAATTAAGTCAAAATTTATTTTCAGTTTCTCCCGACTACCGCCAGGAGATGAGTCGTATTCCACCTCCCACCGCAGACTACGAGGTTACAGTCGGGCGCATTCCCTTGTACTTTTGATCTCACACAAAAATAAAATCCCACAAAGTATAAGTTTTGCCAAATGCTGCACCTGTATGTGGCTGGGTGCTTCAAGTCGTCAGGGGTTTTGTCTATTTGCGATTGATTAAGCATCCCATAAATGTAAATTTTAGAATTAGGTAAAATCTTCAGATTCGCATCAGTCAATAAAACGCAAAATTAATTTTATTTCACTTTTTAACTTAGGTTGTGAAACATGTTCAACAAAACGCATCGATATGCGTTATTGAAGGGCCCACGCTTTATCAGTCTTAGCCTAAAATAATAGATCGGTAAGACAGACAACAAGCAGCCTTGAGAAAAAGATTCCAGGGAATATATTACAAGCACGTCGTGGTGTCCGAAACAAAAAGAAGCGGAACTACGAAGGCCTTTCAAATCGATGATTTACCAATTCTGTTGAATAGACACACAGGTGACCCTTTAGGTACATGAAAAGAAATTCCTATTGCTACGCGTTGCACCATGATGACATTGTAGAATTTGTGTAATTTGATTCCAAGGAATACATTACAACCACGTCATGGTGTTCGAAACAAAGAGAAGCGGAACCATGAATGTCTTTCAAAATCGATGGTTTATAAATTCTGTCGAATAGACACGCAGAAGATCCTTCAAGTACATGAAAAAAAATCCTAAATTCAACAGAATGCTAATTGCTGACGTCTTGAAAAATTCTTGTTTAAAAGCATATTTTGTCGGTTGTGGTGATAAATTCTCTTTTTTTTCAACTTGTGATAATAGCCGCGAACTTATTCTCGATTAGGTCTAATATTCGAAAGGAACAATAAAAACATAGTTATTTATATTGGATAGGATTGGGGGAGGTAGGTGATTGATATCACAATCATATGTACCCACTAAGTGACAAGCGTCTAGAACTCTTTATAAATAGGACGCACATCCATCGTTTTTGAGAAACATTAGTTTGTGTTCTAATTTTCATTTTGTATTTATGTTTAAACTTTAGTGGTCAGAAATATTAATTGCAGCTCTCATAATGTCGACAAAAAAACTGGTCTCAAAAGAAATTAAAAGCTCCAAAGATTTGGAAAAAATCAAAAAAGATTTGAATAAAATTAAGCAACCGTTTTTTATCAAAGTCATCAAGTTGGATCGTATTGAATATCCAGAGTTAAATCTGCTGATTAATTTGATGAAAAGAAATCGACTGCAGGAAATAAGTGTACGAGAATGCTGTGAAACTGCGGATGATCTGGCAAGACTACTTCAGGCTATTTCAAGCAACCCGTACGTTGACACAACGGTGAGTAGTGATATTCGTTTAATTATTTCATTGTGTACAATTTCCCTCCAGAATCGTATTTATTCACACTGGTCCTATTCCATGAAATTTCCATCTGCAGTATGAAAATGTAATCTTTTTTTCAAACAACAAAACAGCCGTTGTCATTGGATATCAGGGAAAATCAATGTGATGGTAGATGTGTCGAACTTCTCCGTGACATGATTGACCGAGGGATTATAGCAAGTTTGGAGCTTCCGTCGAAGCAGAAAGAAAATCACATTTTCACGTTATTGCGTTCCATTCGTTACTGCGAAAGTCAGGTTATAAAGTAATTAGTTGTTAAGCGTGCGTAAACACTAGCTATCTATATATGTATTCCCTACATGTATTCTTCTATTTGCAACAGATGCAACTACTTAATATAAATGACAATGTTATTGATGAAAAAAGTTTTGAATTACTGATGAATATCTTGATGGAAAATAAAGTTCAGAAGAAACTTTACTTGAAAGATTGTAGAAAACCCAAAGAGCAGTTTACTGAAGCAGACAAACAATCGCTGCAACAAGCACAATCTTCAAAGGTAGTGATACAAATTGAAACGTTTTAGATTCTTACCTTTATTATCTTTTCTAATGTACCAAAAATGTACCAAAGTTATCCTGTCAGCGACATCTTGCTACTGAACCATATTGCACCCCAAAAGAACCTCATAGACCGAAAAAGCCAAAATATATTAATGCATAGTAGTAATATATGGATATTAAATATATGTAAAATGCAAAATCATATTGTTGAATATATAAATAGATATTGTAGAACTTTTGTAAATGGTCGAAGATCTAACTACAACCAAAAAATTTCAGAAATTAGCGATCAAATGGTTCAAGACTAAGCCTGCAGTGAACAGCTCACTCATAGCATATCAGGTTTGTAGATTCATTGACGATTTTATATATCTGGCTAGGATAAGCATTTGTACAGAGCCACAAAATGGGTTTTACACTTTTTTAATACTGAATAACACAATTCAACGTTTTGAACAAATTCAAAATTTTTAACAATATTAGATTTGTTTTCCAGAAATCGAGATTTATTATGATTTTAATAAAATACTGTAATAAATTTATCATTAAGCACAGGTAAATGTATTTTCAGGATGGAAATAGATTACTTAGAAGAGTGACTGATAGATTGTTGTCATATGTACCTGAAAGTCACCGGGAAGCCGCAAAACTTTCAATTTCAAACCAATTCCGTCCAAAAGTATTAATTTAATTTTGTTATTCGAGCGACTATACTATACTATTTGTTGGCATTTATTGCGCTACAAAATGTTTATATATCCTCAAAGTGCAGTCACCATAGCAACTTCTTATATTGAACAAAAGTTCCTATACAATTTCACACAAACCAAATATTTTGCCGTTTACACTCAGCTTAGAGATAAAGTTTAAATATACTTTATTATATGGCAATTATATAGATTACCATCCTTAAAATATTCATCCGATTTATCAATTCGGAGTACGCCATGTAAAAAAGTGGTTTGGAGTCGATATATTATGATGTTCCGTGGCTCACATGTTTAGATTCGATTAATATGAATAATACGTATAAATAAATGAAACAATCTGACTCTGACGTGCTTACATAGTCACATTTATGTGCATTTCGTCTAATGCTAGTTGTAGATATGGATGTAAAGTGCGTTCATTTTTAGAAAAAACGCAACAAAAACAGATATCCAGTTTATCAAGTAAGGTTTTTATTTATTTTTTCTATGTATGTGTGTAATATGAAATGCAATAAGCAATATTACATTTAAATTTTATAATTATTAAAGTGAAAACGATGCAGAAAATTAGAATTTTTATAAAATAAAAGTGTTTAAAACTTTTATTTTTAGTATTCAAGTACTTACCTATCGTAGTTATACTTGATTGAAACCGAAAAGATTCAAAATTTTCAACAAAAAAAAAACGATACAGAGAAGCAGTATTGTATTTCCTATTTATTACAGGACGATATTTCGTCAAGTGAAGATCAGTATTGTTCGGAGGACGAAGAAATGATCGATAATTGTATGTACCGATTACAACTAATTACCATATTTCTTTGTGAATAATACGCACCTGTGGATAATACGCACCCAGGTTTTAGTACATTTTTAACGAGAATTTTCCATGCACTCCATGTATGATACGCATATCAAAATTCCGTCCTCTCTTGCCTTGTAGGTATTTTTATATATATATATGGTAATATGTTTATTGTATTTGCCTGTGAAACATCTGCCAATCATGATGTGATGTTATTTGACATTAAGTATCTTGTAAAGTTATTTGTCCCTCCCCTTTATACGCGGAGAAATACGGTATTTTTGAAGTGCCCCATCACCGTAAGAAACTAGGTTTTAAGTATAAGGTCACTTACGTAGGCGTAAAATTACCGAAGCTTACCTGCAAATTTAAATAATTACTGGAAAAAGCTTAAAAAAATTAATGTGAGTGTAATATTAAACTTAAACTAAACAGTAATGAATTATTGTATTGTCTTGATTTGTTGAAGTTTGTCAAAATGAACACATTGCGACGACTCTCGCTTGTTCTCTTTACGGTTTTTTAAGAACGGTGTTCTGATATATTTTTATTATATCCAAAATTATATAAATTTAGCTTTTTGGTATGTACCGGTTTGGCTTGCACTCCTTTTTGCTTTTTGTTGTTACAATAGATGCTAATTAGTTTACCACATTATTTAATTCAATTTTTTTTTATTTATATGATAATCATTTTACTTCATTTAAATTTTTATACAAAAGGTCCCACTGACAGTGAAGACATGGATACTTCATCCGCCGTTGATGCTTTAACAACGCCGAGATTTGAAGGTGGCTTAATATTATTGTTACCAATACCAATAATATAAAAAACGAATAGTCAAAACGTGAATTCCTATATATGAATGTTATTCACTTTGAAATCTTCTGGTCTGGCATGACTTTATCTTACAAATTTCGACAATATTCATTGTCAAAAAATGTGAGAATAAAATTGTCAAATAAAATAACCATACAGAAAATATGAAGATAGCAGACTCCCAAAGAAAATAGTCAATTTGTAAGCCCTTTGGCTACTATTAACGCATCTGACATGATTATTTGATACGCTTTTCTGCTCTTTGAAATTCATTTTCGATTTGATTTTGCGTAGCAAATGAAAAATACCACTAATACCGAAAATATTCAAACACAAATAATATTAACACATCATAGTAAGAAAAAGTAACTCGTGTGTGAGTCTGGACAAATAATCTGATTATTTAGAAGTGACATAAAATATTTTGGGTGCAGCGCGAATTGACAAATCCAACGTAAATAAATTTTGATTTTTATAGAAGGGTACCCAATAAAAAATGACATTGGAAAGAACAACAGCAGAAGATGGCCAATGAATTACGGAGAAATGTATTATACGCCCCTAGGTAGGTCTGTCACATAACCTGGTACATAAATTTCCTATGATTATTATTACTATTTTTTATGTACTTTGTTCTCAAAAGCGGGTTCTCATGAGGGTTTTCATATCTCTAGAGAGTCCAGACAGAGCCTTGATCTCCGTGGGCACAACGAATACCACATAAACCATTTACTTTTTTAACATATGAATAAGAACAATCACGAGGAATATTAGAACAATCGTAAATATCCCACATGATGAATATTTATCATCATATTTTACTAAAAATTGCATTTTAATAAAACCATATTTTTTTTTCCATATTTTCTTGGCGTGGTTCCTAAATTCAGTATACATTTCAAGTATATTATACGTTGACAGATGATCGTCAAGAAAAAACATTTTCAAGAAAATCCAGAGCTGGTATTTTTACAAACAACCCAGTCTATCCGAATTCGAACCAAGGTTGGTATCTAAATATGATTAAATATAATGTGAGTATTTGGATTTCTGCTTGGCAATTTTTACGTGTCATTCATATTGTACCGCGAATTTAAAATATTTTCCAACGTCTCTTTTAAAATCCTTTGACTTTTATTATTAATTTGAAAGGCTTTTGCCAGCGATTGGTGGGTTTCGTTGATCTCATCTAATCTATTTACCCTGACTAGTAGTGGTCATGGTCGCAAAATAGATGTCTACGACGACTCAACATAGTTTAATCTCTAATTTATGATTGAACATTTTAACACAATTTTATAGACACGTACTCACACGAAAACATTAATATTTGCAGGTGAACAATATACGAACCAGCAACTACACTCGTCGTCGAAAGGTTAGTGGTTTGAAACATAAGAATTTTATCCCTGCGACGTAACACGCTTGTCACAAAACATAATATACTGAATTATACACCAGATTGGGTAGTACAACAATTTCATTTTTAAACGCTTTATAATTCAGTTCAAGAAGAACCGAATGCTAGATATGTGCATCAACAATACTCTGATTACAATCAAAGCGAAGAGTACCGACGGAATCAATACGTTGCGAGAACAGGTGCGGGGAGATATTCAATGCCTTTACTTTTAGAACATAATAGCTTTTTATAATTTCACTCCGCTTGTATAATCATCCTTTTGGGAAGCATGACAATGAAGCAATAATGAACTTGTTTCATCAATAGATAGTCAATTATCTTCGCACTGAATTTGAGAACTCTGCTCAAAATTTAGCGTTGTATACCAATTCTTTACAAAAGAGAAAATGGGTCAAAAAATATGGCAGTACCTCAATTTATCATTGTATATTTACAGAATTTGATGCGCATGAAAGACAGTTTCCTGGATATCGTATTTCAAGTGGTATGTAAAATATAATGGTCGTATTTCTGTCAAATAGAATTAAGGAATTTATTTGTACCCGTTGTCTTCGCTTTAGACCCCCTCGTTCGAATTGTTATTCTGTTAAGTATAAATAAAATTAATACTCATACTATGTACCCAAGTTGTGATAAATATTGTCAAGTCGTCATAAAAATAAAAAGTAAATTGATGCCATATTGTTACAGTAGAATTTGAAAAGCTAGCAAAAGCAGGAATCATATCGGACGATGCGACAGATGTTTGCTTTTTTACGAATGTGATCAAACTGTTACATCACCATAACAAACACATTTTAATTTACTGATACGGCATCGATTTTTAACAGGTTTTCTAAATCTGTTAAGAGATTTTGAGAAAAAATTTTGGTTGAAGAATATGCTCAACGTAGAATCGTAGATAACAGTTAAGCGCACAAAAAGGAATAAGTCAAAATTTATTTTCAGTTTCTCCCGACTACCGCCAGGAGATGAGTCGTATTCCACCTCCCACCGCAGACTACACTGTGCCCCCAACAGTTGCATATCCATCAACTGACGGACCTGGTTAGATTATTTCATTTCTTACAAATTAATATTTCCATAAGTATAATCAAGTACAAAAAAATGGGTCTTTGATACGATTAAAACATTTTAGCGCGGGGATGGGGTAAATGAATCGAATATTATACTCTATAATAGGTAGAACCATTGTGATGTAGCTGAATTCTGCCTACATCTATCGAATCACATACTCACAAGTTTATTTGAAAATGTAAGAGTTGAAGATTATGAGATATCCCATGACAAAGAAGTATTTAGGAATCATGTAATAGTGACAACAAAAAGATTTTATTTTCATATTGTGCCTGTATCTTATCAGTAACGGCATGACATTGTTCTATTTGATACCAAAATATTTCCCACCTCAGGTCCAAAACGAGGAACTCATCGGAGGAGACAAACTAGAGAACGCCACCATCCACTTGGTTGGTAATTCAATCTATTCCTCGAATTTATAAAATCATTATATGCATAAATAAATAAACACGTATTCTAACGCAGATCTATAGTTACATTTCCCTGTATTCAGCTTTTTATAATATGCCGTTTCTATAAGATCCTATGAACTGCATTATCAATGTGTGTGGACCAACTTATTATTACCTACTAAATCGTCGAACATAGCTCAACAAAATGTAGTCGGATACTTTTGATATCCACAATAAAATTAGAAAAGCAAATTTTACATTCTTGATCTATTCAATCTAGAGGATGGACACAACAGAGGAAGACGGGAAACACTAATGACAATGAGATTCGACGTTTCCAACAATGACAATGGATGAAAAAATTTTAAAAGGAATAGACTGCTGAAAGAATGTTTTCCCGCTGTACATATATTTTCTATTATAATGACATTCATTAACATAGCACACTTCGACTGTGAAAGCATTTTGAATTGGATTGTAAATAAAGACTTGAATTAAGATTGAATGGGATAATGAGAAAATAATTCAAAACCATGTATGTCGACAATATATTGTTGCGCAAAAACATGTAGGAACATCTACTTTAAAACTGTTAATTTATCATTTCAATGAATTGTCGTTTTGGAGTTTCTGTTAACGTAAAAACACTACCATATTTTGTCTATTAGGATAGCTAAATGGCGCATTATCAATGGGAACCCAAAAGTTACCCAAAATCGTGAAAAACTATTTTTCTTTGTCATGAACGAATTATGCAATAAATTTAATTTCAACCATTTTGGCAAGCCGACTTCAACGAAACTAATATTATCCCACAATAGAATGTACATTTCCATGGCTACGACTTAAATAATTACTTTTCAATTAACCCATAATAGGATTTGTAGAATTTGTGTTGATGATTGTAAAATCAAAAATTGTCAGAAATGTGTCAATGAAGCGAATTTACGATATCATGTTTGTTTTTAATAATTTGAGGTCGACGTAAATGCATATAATTTGCAATTTTTTAATTTTATTTTTATAGTGTTAGTCATTGTAGGCATAGAGCGTTTTGATTGGAGTTTTGTATATACTATTCGAAATCTAAAATAAAATCAATAAAGGTGTCTTTGTCTACTCCACTGTACCAGTGTAGGTGTTCCACGAACATGGATCGTTAGTACAAAACCTATTCAAAAGTTTGGGATAAATTCAATCCAGTATGAATAGCAAATTAACTGATATTGCGTACAGTGCTAATCATCACTACAATTCAAATAAATAAAATTAATTATTTTAAATGAAACATAATGTAATGTGACTAATGACAATTTCAGTTTTAGGTTTTATCTTAAGTTGTCGAAAGTTGGCTAATGAATAGTATTTTAAAGATATAATTTTAATATGATTATCGTCACCAAGCGCCAAGTTTGTAGTCATCGTCCACGCACATGACACGTAGAATCTACAGCATTACTACACAGAATAGAAACATTACACATTATACATAGAAATAATTGGGTGTGCCAAATTTTTTATGACAATGTCTTGAACAAGTCTGCGTTAGGAAATGAGAATTTATGATTTCAAAATTTACCCACACCTCCATATTAAGTCATGATTAATGCTTGGTTGTAAATTTCAGACGCGTACACCCTATGAATGAAAGACACCGGCTTACCTTCTTCATTTCAATAATATATTATTCTCATTTCAGCTAGGAACCAGACAGACTACAATTAACGATTCTCTTACAAGTTGTATTCAAAATAACATGCAATTGATTTATTGAGGATGAGTTTTAGTAAAATTGTATACATCAGTTACATTGCATTTTGTCTTCAATGTCTAAAACAAGTGTAAATTAATATGAATTTTAAACCAATCTCGCCAATATATGCACAGATTAGCGTCAAGAACAAGTGTGCCATAGTAACTCCAGAGCGGTTATAGATACAAATGAGAATTTGGAAGCGTATAATATGATTATATTGGAAAATCAATACAAAAATATTTGGAGATTCGTATTTTACTTTGCTTATTTTAGCGAAACATTGAAACAAATTCATTTTGAAGCATTCTTAGGTAATATTATATGCGAAAATCGGTAGTTTCTTTTTTGCATGATTTCTGGAACATGAAGCCATATGAGGAAAGGCGAAAGCATTTTCAGTGGACTTTGTTGTAAATGACAGATTCGGTAAAAGCTACATGTTAATTCACTTACTGTTCAATGATTACAAATTGTTGTGATTGGCATTTAAAACAATTAGATTGTGGTTTACGATTAGAACATTGTGTCATCAGAAACAATTCATGGGATGTACGGTAATTAAACGATTTGAAACGATTATGTTGGTGGTTGAAAGTCTCCAACTAGGGTCCAATACTTCGTTTCCTAACCTGTTCTGGAATTGAGTTCAGACCTTTTACAACGGAGAGTGCTTTTATACATAAACGTCGATAACATGCCGTTTTAGACTATATTCTTTTTGCACCGACACAACTTGCAGACATACAAAGACAGTGTTGCAAGCTGGAAATTACTGGACATTACCAAGCTGACACCAATATAATGAGAACAACAACTTATATACTCACAAGAATAACAACACAACAATTGAATGATCCATAAGTCCACTCCGTGTCGAATAATTTGACACAAATCAAGTAAAATGGATTCGATGAGATTATTGGATTTTGAAGAATAAAATTATTGTAGATTACATATTAAAAGTAATGAAAACAAGTTTTGTTGAGTATTGCAACTGCACGTAGATGGATGCTTTGAGTAGTCAGAGGTTTTGACTATTTACTATTAATTAAGCATTCTAGGGTTGATTTAGGATTTCGACTAGAAGCGGTTCGAATCAACATCACTTCGAATCGATCCGAATCATTTTCAGATAGCGCAGAGGCGATTTTACGACGCACAACAAATTAATTAAAGTCGGTACTCCCGAAGTATGTGTACCAGGTTAGGGTTAGGCCCTAATATTATCCCGATTTTCTCTATTTTAGTTCTATTACTAGTTCGCGGACTGTCTGTGTTAGCCAAGTGAATATACCCCCTGCCCACGGGTTTCAGTCCCTTCACACAACTCGGTAGGCAAACAAAATTAGTTACCTCCATATTGGTACACATACTTCCGGAGCGTCCTAAAGTCAATAAATTCATTTATTTTCCAGCTATGTAACCTCTTTGGTCTAAACTAAAATGTAATAATGAATTGGATGATATTTGCGTAAATTTTTTGTCCTCAACATGCAGTCAATTAGTCATCTTCTTCGACATCATTTTATTGATTTGAAGATCTTGTATTGTCACCCATAAATCATTTTAATTAATGACTTTTTCAGTTTACGAATCAAGTCGAGAGATTATTACCCAAGATTGGTTGAAATAATGTGATTCGTCACACAAGATATCCGAAAACATTTCTATAGATAATAATATCAAAGGCTCTAATTGAAAGAATTTGACTTAGTTCGTCTCTAACGAGCACGCCTAATATACCAATGTAATCATACATTTATCAATATCTGACGAGCGTCCTCTTCAATGACTTTTCTCGTCATTGTTATATGACAATTGATCGATACGTACAATGAAGGCCGGGAGGTTGAATTTGAACATGCACTGCACACTTTGAACAGCTCTGGTAGACGAATCTGCTAAATTTAACACAAAATTCTTCCGCGTGCCGAACAAAATTAAAAACAATGCTTTGTTACTTTTAAAGCAAAAAATACACAATAATAAACCTTCTAAACATGTAAGCTACAGACAGATTCACTATTCGGGAAAATATGAGTCCGACAAATAGATTTGATTACTTTTCTTATTCTATATAAGTGAGACTTCTGCTACTGCATTACCGTTGATAGAGATTTACATTGAAAAAAAGTTACGAACTACTGGTTTCATCTTTCAGGCTACTCCTGTTATGAAAGTTCATGACTGAATACAGAAGGTCACAAGCATATGTAGATAACAACATGCAGTTGCAAAGTTTTTGAGACACGAAAAATTCTCGGGAATGGCTTCCCAATCACGCGATAGTTCGTTTTCTGCACTTCTCTCTTGTATTCCCTTCCATAATTGCTTATATTTCTTTCGAAATCATTTCATTTCAGTAAGTTAGCAAGTAATCTTGGCACAGACTATATAGAGGACTTGCACAGGTCACGTGACTTTGTTTACTGGACGGCAAAAAAACAAAAACGTCCATTTGGCTCCTGTCAGTTGCAAGTCGGATTATACGTTTCCGTTTTGTTTGGCTGTTGAAAATGGTTTAATTCGTATTGTTCCGTTAGCTGTACGTATAGTATACTATAGACAACGAAATGGATCTTCAATTATATATCAACTGTTTTCAAAAGATCCGGAACGTCGCCGGCGGTCGTGCGAACCACCCTCAGTGGGAGGAGAGCTGCAATCTTCTCGCACATAACTATCCCCGCATGGGATTGGAACCTGATTGGAGATGCGGTAGCGAGGGTATTCCTAGATGGCGAATTCAACTGAATTCTGGTTATTTTTTGCATGAGCACTGGCGCTAAACTTTAGTTATCTATTCAACTTTTCCCACTTACTAATAGATTACCTGCTAACTAGGGAAACAATACCTTAGGGCAATTGATGATTAATTCCTTACACAAGTCAAGTCTGCAAGTAGGCCTAACAATAACAGTAGTTTGCCATCTGCTTTCCATTGAAATGAGGGAGCTTATGAATATTTAAAGAAATTGATAACGGCACATTATCATTCACCATCAACGAAGTGCTGTCCGCAAACAGTGAAACACAAGCGAGATGACTTCTGGACTTGACACCAAGCAGTCCTGCCAATGGATGATATCCACATTGCGCGACGTTCCGGATCTTTTGAAAACAGTGGAAAATAACTGAAGATCCATTTCGTACTTGTACTATACGTACAGCCAACGGAACAATACGAAATAACCATTTTCAACAGCCAAACAAAACGGAACCGTATAATCCGACTTGCAACTGACAGGAGCCAAATGGACGTTTTTGTTTTTTTGCCGTCCAGTAAACAAAGTCACGTGACCCGTGCAAGTCCTCTATATTACGTTACAATGAACCCCCAATGAATGCTGTGTCTCATCACAATTAGTCAAGAGCTAACTCAGTTGTTACGTCATAATATATTTCTTTGGAGTCATGTTATGAAAAGATAAAAAGAGTTTAAAATTTTGAATGAATAACAGATTGTTAACAAACGATAATGAACGAGAATATCGGTTGGAAACCGAAGACTTATCGATCGATAGTTAGGGGATCCCCCAAAACAGAAACTGCAGTTTCGATTCATCCGCTCTTGTAACTTGCGCACTGCGCATCGCACCCA